GGTTAGTGTTTTCTTATATTTTTGTCATGAACTACGGATCCTCGTAAAATAATTTCATTAACACAGGAAGATGAAGATACATAGTAAATTAATTGTAGACTAAAATATATTACAAATTGTATTTTTACGCTTAATACTGAACTAATACAGAACTATTATGGTCTTCGATGCAACAGGAAAATAATAGTATATTCTACAACAACCCAAATAATGTTACATGTTAGAAACAATGAAAAACTATCTGTCTGCATTTCAATAATACTAACATATATGAAGGGCTATGTTCATTGGAAACTGTGTAACTGTATTCATGAAAAGTATACCATGAAAGTTTAAAGTACAGTTTTTTCTCATAATTCCACAGAAAATTTAAGAATCCACAACTGAATGGAACGCCGATGACATTGATAATAAAAGGTATGTGATGAGTTTATTGACATTGATGTAAATATTAGGTATGCAAGATATTTCTGAATCAACGCCAACATAAAAATAAAAAGAATTCATATTCTTTTTATAACAGATACATTGCAATCACCAGAAATCCTGTCGCCATGCAGTGCGGATTTACCTGTACCATTAAGCGATGGTTATTGGAAGAATAGATCTGTATTTGTGCCTCTGGTATGCAAAAGTCAGCAGTGGACGAAACAACAGGCAGCCATATGTCTAAATGATACAAAACTCATTATTTGTGGTGATTCTACATTAATGCAAATGAGACAAGCTCTAAGAAACAATTTTAAAATCGCAGACATTGTCACTCAATTCGTGTACCCAAGAACTGGAAACATTGTAGTTCGATTTAAAACAGGTGTTTTAGAAAGTGATTTACTGGATAGGATTTTGCGCACTAACTGCTCAACAGCAAACTATGTTATTGTTTTGAATTTTGCATTTCATTATGGTGCTTTCACAAACCGAGCGTTCTTAGAAAGAATATATCATGCTAAATTGGCTGTTCAGCGTCTAATGTTAAGGTGTCCCACTTCAAAAATTATAATCAAACTTGCGCATCCACGTGATAACATATTTATAGAACAAACTATACACAGTGCCAACTGGGTTTTCTATGACATGAACAGAATGATACGTCGTGTGTTTGGGGGTATTGGAGTGCATTTTCTAGATATATGGGATATGGTTTCGTCATCGTTTCAGAACAACACTGTTCATATGCCTAACACTGTCATAGTTCAAGAGGTGCATCTCATGTTATCCTACATATGTCCAGAGTTAGTCGTGTCAAACTAATTTACCTTATCAAAGCAATTTAAATATGAGGCTCGTATACAGTGACAGCGAATGTGTCTTGCCACATTCCCCCAATGCGACATACCGTACTGTTCCAATAAAGCCAACAAAAATTATAGCACTTGATGCGGAAATATAACGTGTGTTCTCTGCGTTAAACAAGAGTAAACTACTTTTAATTTGTACTTTTAATTTGACTACATTGTTTAATT